CACAACCATGAATGCTTGCCACCACCTCATGCCATAATCTCTCTCTCTCTCGGGGCCATCTCCATAGCCACTTTCCTAGAAGGGCTACATTCTTTAGCATTATGTTCCCTATCCCTAAACCCCCTTCTTCCTTTGGTTTGTTAACTATCTCCCATTTGATCAAGTGATCCTTTTTCACCTCTCCTGATTCCCATAGAAAGTCCCTCATTCTCTTCTCCAGTTTCTTAGCCTCCCTTGGAGGAATCTTGAACACTGAAAGGAAGAAGGTTGAAAGGTTGGCAAGTGTAGCCTTAATTAAAGTCGGCCTACCCCCTATTGAAATGTAATTCTTTTTCCAAACCGCCAAGCACTTATCAAATTTCTCCACAATAAGGGCCCAAAAACTACTTTCTTTAGGGTTGGCTCCTAAGGGTAGCCCTAAGTATGTCAAAGGCCAAGAAGAAATATTGCAACCTAAGAATTCTGCAATGGACTCAATCTCCCTATTCTCCAAGTTTACTCCAACACACAACTTTTATCAAAATTTACCTTCAAGTTGGAGACCCTCTCAAAAGTACTTATTAAAATCTTAAGGTTCCCCATTTTTCTCAACTCATTCCCTTCACAACAATAACATCAACAAATTGAAGGTGAGTTACTGGAATGCCTCTGCTCCCTATTCTCCATCCCTATATTTGGCCCTCCTCATCTGCTTTGGAGATCATCCTACTAAAGACATCAGCAACAAGTGTAAAGAGGAAAGGGGAGTGGATCCCCTCGTCTTAAGCCTCTATCGGCTGGAAAAAAGTCCTTAACCACCCCATTCACCAACACTGAATAACGACAAGAGTTTAGGCATCCTCTTATCCAATTACACCATTTATCCCCAAATCCACGTCTTCTTGACACCTCCAGTAGGAAACTCCAATCCGCTAAGTCATAGGCTTTCTCCAAGTCCAGTTTGCAAACAAATCCTTTCYTGCYCRATCTCCTTATCTCTTCCACACTCTCGTTTGCAATAAGGATTTGATCTGTAATTTGTCTATCCTGTATAAAGGCTCCTTGTGCTTGGCTAACGAGAGAGGGGAGAACT